TTACTCATAATCAGGGTGATCCACTTTCATGTGTAAGGAGAGAAACCCTGTGGTAGATTCAGGACTGTATTAGCAGACTATCTAGAAGAAGAAGAAATTGAGCCTAATTGTACAGAATCTATTGGAAAGTCAGTGTTACTCAGACATGGTAAAACACTGTGCATTAGTTTCTTCCTGTTCTAAAGAAGTTTGCATGTTGGCATTTGAAAGAGTGTGAAATTCTACCTTCAAGCATTTAATGGATATTTTGAAAGCCAGCTTTAGGTTATTAGCTCTTAATCCTGTTTGGAAATGAAGAGCAATAAAGTGTGAATGAATTATCTGCTCATTCGTTGAAATAAAGGCAATCTTCACATAAGTTTCTATTTTAATTCCACTTTAGGGATCATGGGGGAATTCTAAGTAGTCAGATGATCTTTCCATAGCCATCTGTGATCAGCAAACATAGTCATTTCATGAGAACAATAAACAGACTGAAACATTGCTCAAATCAAAAAGGGGCAATAGATTTTTGTATGGTCTTTGGACCACCTGTGTTAGACAGGTCTTTTAATGTGAATTAATAATAAGCAAAATAGGTAATGGATGCTTACAATTTCCTGCCTTTTAAGACTAGCAAATGGCATAGTCTACACTTCTCTGAAAATAATGATAAACCAGATGAAGTTTTAAAAATGGGGCCTAATTAGAATAATTTAAACATTGTGGAAGTTGCATTTCATAATAACTATAACATCACAATAATAATATTCATAGAATTACTAATTTCTATGGTTTAAATGTCCCTATAAGTCCCACATTTCTGATAAATGTGATAACATTATAGCCGTAGTTTTTTCTGCAAAGGTTAAGTGAAACACATTTGTAGTATTATTACAGTCAATTGAAATGGCTATATCCAAGATCCCAATGTAGTGAAGATAGCACTGGACTGTGTTTATCCCATTCCAAAACCAGAACTTGCAACAGTTACTTCTTCGAACTACAGTGCCAATAATGTTTCTAAGCTCTGACCATATCCTCTAGCTTTTCTCAGAACATGGGACATACCCTTGTAACATTCTAATTCCAGCTCTAGGGATCACTGACTCAGCTTTTTGAATGCCACTATGTTCTGCTTTTCTTAATCAGCTTACTGTGAAATAGTTGGTCCTTCAATGGTTCAAAATAAAAAAGGATCCTTATTCTGTTGTCTTTCAATATATTTGGAATATGTGATTATCCTATAGTACGTTATCAGACGTGCAGACTTGTGAAGTGGCAGGTTCTGCTAATAGAGCCTTACAGCATATGTGAGGTACATGTTCAGTGGTGTTGACTTTATCATCATTATATTTAGAATTTTAGATATTCACTGCTTTAAGGTAAGATACATAGCATATTTTTCCATGTATGAGATGCTACTTTTTCCTAAAATCATTACACTAAAAATTGAGGTGCATCTTATACATGGAAGTAAGCTGAGATAGCTGAGGAGAGAACAAAATGGCACATACCTTGCCTCTGTAAACAGGCTTCCTTCAGTCACAAGGCTTAGCTTCCTACAGTTATAAGACTTAACTTCCTCCAATCATGAGCCTTATGGAACTGATGTCAGCTGATCCTGAACAAACCAATTGGAACATACTTTGTTGGAGGTGGTGCCTGTAGGCAGTGCTCAGATTCAACAGGGACTCGTAATGCCCAACATTCTAAGCCCAGAAGCTGAATACTCAAAGTTAGGTTTTCTTCATTTTGGGGTTAGAAAAGTGGGAGGGGCATCTTATAAATGGGGGCATGTTATAAACAGAAAAATATGGTACATCCACTACACCACTTGGCTGTTCAACTTCTAGAAAGTCTGAAGAGAGGTCTAAAGCCTAAAGATCCTAAATCCTGATAACACCTCAGACAAGTGACATTTTCACTAAGTATTAACCAAAAGGAAGAGAAGGAATAGTTATTCATCAGGCAGTGTGTACCAGGCCACTTACATTTTGTGCTAAACAAGGAGCATTCTAGGATGTGTTATAGGAAATGTATTTCTAAGGATTGCAAAATACACAGCACCTTCATGTATTTTCAAGAAATCTGACAGCTTACCATTTAGCACCATGGTTGCAACGCCTTTGCTTTACATCACTTCCAATTTGTACTGTTTGTTACATACCTCAGACTCCCCAAAAGAGTAATCTTTGAAAATGTGTGTATGTTTGTGTGTGTGAGTGCATGTGCACGCACATGCATGTACACGCATGCACACAAACGCACACACAATCAGGAAGCAAATGTACTACGCACACACATACACACAAACGCACACACATGCACATACACGCACATACACGCACACACAATCAGGAAGCAAATGTACTAGTGAATGAGTAGGGAGGTTTCTCCCATTCTGTAAAAACTAATATTGGCCCAAATCCTCTTGCACAACTTTACACTGTGCAACTTGGATGGCATCATCATCCAGTGAGTAGGATATTTTATTTTGTAAAGAGGAGACTTCATGTATTCCCCTCTTTCAGATTCCAAGGCTCACTAGGACTCTCTTTTGTAGGGAGTCTTTAAGAGCCCCAAATCATAGCTGGATCACTGTCGCTAGGATTGCGACTGCCTGTGGTTATTTTTTCACAATTAAAGACCACCACTTCTAATCCTGAGGGTACCAAAGGCTTCCCGAGGGCAGAAGGGAGTCAGTCTGCTACTTCTATAGAAAATGGCTCCCAGTAACTGTGTGGTAACTTCGGTAATACTGAACCTAGCTGTACTTTTTAGATTTCATTGTCTTCTTGTTTGACAAAAATTAAAGGGATACAGTTGTCATAGAGAAACAGGTCTATACTACTGGTATGACTGTTCTTACATGAGTGGAAAATTCTGATACTGTACTACAGAGGTAAAAGCAAAACACGATAGTGTGCATGGCTATGTGGGCAGTTACATCTCTTTGGGATGAAACATTGCTTTAAGGCCTTTTAAAACTTCACGAAGCATTTTGGAGAAATCTCAATGGCTGAAACCCAGTTGCAGTTGATATAACATAAAGTTGTGGTTGTAGAATATTTCAGGAAGAACCCAGGCATTCATGGAGCAACTAGTATTGATATATGCCTGCATAACTGTTTAATGAATATCGACCTAGTTAGTGCTTGGAAACATTAATTTCAACATTTCTTGTAATTGTTCTAATGTTTTTCTAATTTCAAGAGTCAAGGTTCAAACATTTCATTTCATTTCACTTAAATATAATGTTGAAGTTGAGAAGTATGGAAGTAATGAGTAATACCACTTTTATCCTTAAAGAATGAATATTTATCCACTAAATTATAGAACACTAATGAAAGAATGCAAGAAGATATGAAAACAGATTGAGAACATATGTCTTTTCCTCACTGCTTTGCACCATATTAGGACACACTGATTAAGCTGAACTTGAGAAAATGTACTGAGAACAGAGAAATGAAAGGAAAATAAAGCAACTTTATAGGGCCCAGCATTCAATGAAGTATTTGCCATAATGTTTCTAAAATGTTTTACTAAATTATATCTGACCAGGTAAATTACTGAATGGGTAAAATCATGCATCATCCTAATCTTGATTACAAGACACATTGCTGTATGGCTCTAGCCATACATTTGTCAAGTACAGTATATGATTATCCTCTTATGTAATGGACTCCTCCGTTCCCCCCTGCACCTTCTTACTTGCTGGCCCTCAACCTTATAGTGCAGATTATGATTATCTTCTTATGTAATGGACTCCTCCCCCCATTCCCCTCTGCACCTTCTTCCTTGCTGGCCCTCAACCTTATAGTGCAGATTTTGGTGGTTGGAGCAAAAGTAGCCATAGGAGGGGGAAGGAATTATTTCTTCTAACAGTGTCCATTGATAGAGAGATCCTTCTGAAATTTAAGCAGCTGACTTAATGGATTTAAGTTAAAAGAAAGAAATGAGGTTTCAACCAAACATTAGGAACAGATTTCCAACCACGAGAGCCATTTGACAATGGAATCAACTGCCTCAGAGCAGAGACTTCTCTGCCCTAGTTTTAAGCAGAGGTTGGATAGTTACCTATTAGGGATGCTTTAGGTGTGAATTGGCATGGGCCTGGACCATGTGGCCCTTGGGGGTCCTTCCAGCTGTACAATGTTTCTATGATTCTGTAATATTTGTAAAAGCAGAGTTGCAATCTGACTTTGCTCAGACTTACACATTCAAATACAAATTGTTTTATTTAGAAAATGGCATTTTATTTGCTACAGGAGCCTGACACTAAGAATAAAATATTTTGTCTTTTTTGTGTGTGTTTGCTAGACTATAAGATGGAGAGAGGGGAGATGGTAGATGGTGAGGTGGGTGGGTATTTAACCAGATGTATTTAATAAACACTTTTTGTTGATTAAGACCATGACTGGGTACAGATTGTAAGGCAACAGCATTGTATCATCAAATAAATTATCCAATATGCTCCAGATAATTTTGACCTCAATATAATGCAGTTTGCTTGGGAAGGCAAAGTGTTAGGGACTAATGGTTGTTGTGGGTTTTTCGGGCTCTTTGGCCGTGTTCTGAAGGTTGTTCTTCCTAACGTTTCACCAGTCTCTGTGGTCGGCATCTTCAGAGGACAGCACTCTGTCCCATTCTCCTTCAAGCTGTGTTAGGGACTAACATTGTGCATTCAGGTCCTCATATCCATTCAGGATTACCAGTAAGAATTGCCCCCAAAAAAGAAAGAAAAGAAAAGAAAAGAAAAGAAAAGAAAAGAAAGGAAGGAAGATAGTTATAGTTGAATTTTGAATGAGGAATTCTAGACCTGAAAGTTACTTACAACTGCAATTTCATGTGTGCGAGGGAGAAAATTGAGTAGACATGAGATGGATATGATTAGTTACTTAACTAATTTCCCCTAATAATCTTGGTCAGCAGGTGGCTAACATTGCCATTTAGAACTGAAATTCATATATACCACCTATTTCAAATTTCTGTGTTTGTTTTTTGCAGGTCTACCAGCATGCAAATGAAGAGTTAAATATAACAAGTTCTACTATGATTCCAGTTATTCCACTGTTTCTTCATCATCGACTTTAGGATCTCTTGCTGTTAGATTTTTCTTTGGCAAGAAATGTTCATTCAACATTTATTTGGCTTGCTTCCCTCTGATGGTAAGTTTCTATTTTAACTTCATATGGGGTTATTCATTTTAATACACATATTCCGGGAAAGTGGCCAGGAAAACCTGAAGAGGTTTCTGCCTTTGACACCAAAGCATCTTTTGCAGTGAACTATTAATATTTTTAAAGGAAACTTTCTCAGCTTAACCTAGATTGCGAGAATGAGACTGTTTACTAGGTATGGGTTGCAGGAGAAGTAAACAAAGTATTTTGAGATTGATCATATGTGTAGCACTGATTTATTATACAAATATATCTTTTAAGAATAGTTGTGGAAGAGATAACTGTGTTAGTCTGTGCAAGCTTTATAGGGGAAAGTAAAATAGCATTTTTTTTAAAAAAAGAGTCAAAAACATGGTTGCACCTTAAAGACTTATATATTTTTTTAATGTGAGCTTTTGTGGACAGGTCTGATGAAGTGGACTTGTTCATGAAAGCTCACATTATAAAAATATAAAAGTTAGTCTTTAAGGTGCCACCAAGTTTTTGTCTTTTTTCACTTTTTATTTCTATTTTGTTTTTACCTATAATACTTTTAAGGATATATATTTTTGGCCATGCATTTTTGGAAGGCAGACATATTGCCCTAACATATTACCAAGAATGAATACTTTTCCTTTATAGTCAGATAAGTGAATGATAACTCTTTCATAATGGGACATTGATGCTTTATCTTTAATGTCACAAATTTAGCAGCTGCTAGCTCATATAGATTTATCTTATTCCTACTGAGTTTCAGCGTGTAAGAATGTATTTCACCTACACTTTCCTGGAAATCAAGTTGTTATTTTATACTTATGAAAAATACTGAGTACAGAATATGTTGCGTTTTCCGAAGGAAAAATTAATTGCACTCTTCATTTTATTGGCTAAAGTTGTAAGAATTGGAATTAACTTCTGCCGTATCTAACAGTCTTATTGTGTTAGAAATACTTGAGAGGCTTACAAGAAATGATTACTTATGTAGTTACTGGTTTCTTATGTTTTGCTGGAGGAATGTAGCAGAGTCCTATTAGTTTTCAAGGACTTAAATGTTTTTTCAAAAGAAGCAAAATATAACATATTCCAGGCTGTTTTGCCACAAGATCAAATAACTTCAGCTTTACTGGGCAAGGTTCCCACTAAGCTGGGCACACACGCACATGCGCATGAATCCACTTCCCTCCACATAGCTCTCTTCCTTCTCTTCACAGTGACCACAATGATTGCCATGGAAGCCAATGCGCAGGGGGAATGGGGAGAGACATGCACATGCAGGGGTAAAGCCATGCGTGAGAGAGGCGGAGCCCCACCCAGTGAGGCTGAAAATTAAAGGGTGTGTTACTACTGGGTATTTACATAAGATGAAAGCAATATGGTGCTATTTTAAATTTATTTATTTATTGTATTTATACCCCGCCTATCTAGTCATTTCGACCACTCTAGGTGGCTTACAACATAAAGCATAACAAGTTCAAGAAAAATTTATAATAATTAATTAATTAAATGATTCTGCAAGATGGGAAAACTATAAAATAAATCAAATAAAGAGGGGAAAAAGGGAAAGAGGTCAGGAATTAACTGGAAGGGAAGGCCTGCCTATACATCCATGTTTTAGTTGGTTCTTAAAAGTACTTAAAAGTAAATGTAAACAAAATAGTAATTTATACTCAATTTTTTTTAAATTGTGTAATTTGTAAACATAGTGGACATATGAACTTTCACTACTGGTTGCCCTACCATAGTCTACACATTCATAGTTTGGATTGTACAAAATTGTACATATGCACTGGGGGAAATTATGTACAAAAATGTGTGTGTTAGGGAAAACTGAACAGAAAAATTCTTATATTGAGGGAAATGTGTATGAAAATGAATATGCATTTGTGGGTAGATTAGTTGTATAACTAACAGGGACTAACAAATTTTATCTGTCTCTCATATAGGTAATATGATTAGTTAGACTTTGAAATATACTGAACATTTTTCTTATTCTTAATAAGTAACTTGCTTCCTTACAGAACAAATTATATTTAACACATAATGCTTGTTTCTTTCCCAAATGTGTTGCACTTCCCCACCACCTAAAAAGAGTAAAGCAGGACATTGCAAGACCTAGCATCGTATCTCCCATTGTTTGGCTTCGTGCACAATGTAGTGATTTTTTTGAGGGGTGTTATGGTGTCAGTAATAGAAAGAGAAAAACCAGAGATCTGTTCAAAAAAATTGGAGACATTAAAGGAACATTTTGTGCAAAGATGTACATGATAAAGGACAAAAATGGTAGGGACCTCACAGAAGCAGAAGACATCAAGAAGACATGGCACGAATACACAATTATACCAGAAAGATCTGGATGTCCTGGACAACCCAGATAGTGTGGTTGCTGCCCCTGAGCCAGACATCCTGGAGAGTGAAGTCAAGTGGGCCTTAGAAAGCTTGGCTAACAACAAGGCCAGTGGAGGTGATGATATTCAAGTCGAACTATTTAAAATCTTAAAAGATGACGCTGTTAAGGTGCTACACTCGATATGCCAGCAAGTTTGGAAAATTCAGCAGTGGCCCGAGGACTGGAAAAGATCAGTCTACATCCCAATCCCAAAGAAGGGCAGTGCCAAAGAATGCTCCAACATTTGCACTCATTTCACATGCTAGCAAGGTTATGCTCAAAATCCTACAAGGTAGGCTTCAGCAGTATGTGGACTCCCAGAAGTACAAGCTGGATTTTGAAGGGACAGACGAACTAGAGACCAAATTGCTAACATGCACTGGATTATGGAGAAAGCCAGAGAGTTCCAGAAAATCATATATTTCTGCTTCACTGACTATGCAAAGCCTTTGACTGTGTCGACCACAACAAATTATGGCAAGTTCTTAAAGAAATGAGAGTGCCTGATCACCTTATCTATCTCCTGAGAAATCTGTATGTAGGACAGGAAGCAACAGAACTGGATATGGAACAACTGATTGGTTAAAAACTGAGAAAGGAATACGACAAGGCTGTGTATTGTCTCCCTGTTTATTTAACTTATATGCAGAATACATCATGCGAAAGGCAAGATTGGATGAATCTGAAACCGGAATTAAGATTGCTGGAAGAAATATAAAACAAAAAACCCACACAGGCCGGATAGCACTCTGATGGCAGAAAGTGAGGAGGAATTAAAGAACCTCATAATGAGAGTAAAAGAGGAGAGCGCAAACAATGGTCTGAAGCTCAACATAAAAAAAACTAAGATCATGGCCACTGATCCCATCACCTCCTGGCAAATAGAAGGGAAAGATATGGAGGCAGTGACAAATGTTACTTTCTTGGGCTCCATGATCACTGCAGTTGGTGACAGCAGCCACGAAATTAAAAGACACCTGCTTCTTGGGAGAAAAGTGATGACAAACCAAGACAGCATCTTAAAAAGCAGAGACATCACCTTGCCGACAAAGGTCCGCATAGTTAAAGCTATGGTTTTTCCAGTAGCGATGTATGAAAGTGAGAGCTGGACCATAAAGAAGGCTGATTGCCGAACAATTGATGCTTGAGGAGACTCTTGAGAGTCCCCTGGACTGCAAAGAGAACAAATCTATCCATTTTGAAAGAAATCAACCATGAGTGCTCACAGGAAGGACAGATCCTGAAGCTGAGGCTCCAATACTTTGGCCATCACATGAGAAGACTCTCTGGAAAAGACCCTGATGTTGGAAAAGTGTGAAGGCAAGAGGAGAAGGGGATGACAGAGGACAAGATGGTTGGACAGTATCACTGAAGCTACCAACATGAATTTGACCAAACTCCAGGAGGCAGTGGAAGACAGGAGGGCCCGGTGTGCTCTGGTGTGCTCTGGTCCATGGGGTCACTAAGAGTCGGACACGACTTAATGACTAAACAACAAACGGTGTCAATAAAACAAAGTAGGCTTTAAATAAACTGTTAATGTATACAGTACTTGAAAACAGGCAATTCTTATCTTATGGAAGCTGTTTTCTGGATTGTGTTTATAGTTTTTGTTGTTTAGTCATTAAGTTGTGTCCGATTCTTTGTGACCCCATGGACCACAGCACGCCAGGCCCTCCTGTCTTCCACTGCCTCCAGGAGTTTATAGTTACTATGTTTCAAAACAGTAATGAACCTAACATCTTTTTGTACTTTAAAATCTGCACTGCAAAGTAAATATGATGAATAAAAAGTAGAGGAGATGATGTTCTGATTACACAAAGTATAAAGTTTTGAACAAATCTTCTTTCGTTGTTGTTATAAGTTTTGGTGAATTACAGTTGTTTTATAAAATGATTTTAAATTGCATTCTCAGTAAATGAAGAAGAATTAATTTCACCCCACAAGCTGGGCCATAGAGGAGCAACACCAAGGAAGATGATTGAATGGCAGGGTTGCTACCGAACCCTCCTTTTTAAAAACATATCCTTGTTTTCAGAAATTCCTGGTATAGCCTTTCCATAATCTTCAGTCTTTAATCTTTTCACAGATATCTTGCTCCTGGAAATGTGTCACTGCTTGGCACTTTTCTGAGTGATGATTTCCCATGCTGTGACATTTTGAGCATTGCCCACTCTCCTTAGAAAACACAATGTTGTAAATGTTGTCTGTCACACTGGCTAAATATATTTCATCACCTTTTACGTTGGGTGTATGTTGTCTGGGGAACTGGAAAGAAAATGCAGAAATCAGCAATCTCCTGGCTTTACATATTTATAAAAATCTTGGTATTTGAAGCTGTTGGGTTTGTTAGAAAAACCCAGTAATTGTAACAATAAAAGGAAGTTTGTTTGTTTGCATGGATAAGCTTAGAAGAATGCTAAAAGTGTTTCAAAATGTTTCAGGAAAATTGTTATGTGATTGGACTGCTTCTCCTCTGCCAGCTACGTTGTCTGATCAGGCTTGTTTTCAAGTATCCTTTTCAACATAGGCTAGTAATAATAACTGTGTTTAAAATCAGCATCTATCAAGTCAAGTACAGTAGTCCTATTCTACTAAGGCAATCTCACACCTAATTATTCTT